TTTCCCAACAGGACAGCGGCATCAGCCACTTTACTCCTAAGTTTAGACCCAAACAAAATGAAGATAATATTCAAATAAAAACATGTGCATGAGCATTCACAGTAGTGCTGTTCTCCCGGCCAGAAGGTAGAAACACCCAAACACCCCCACTGGAAGGCACACGACAATGTGCGGCATCTCTGTACATGGAACTATGACTGGGCCACAGAAGGAAATGAAGGAAGAGCTGAGGTGACAACACCCAGCTGCGATCCCAGCTGCTCTGGAGGCTGAGGCAGGAGGCTCTCAAATTGGAGGCCAATGGGGGCAACATAGTGAGACCCTGTCTCAAAATAGAGAAATGAAAAGGGACTTAGATGTAGCTTGTTGGTAGAGCATGTGCAAGCACCAGGCTCTGGATTCAGTGCTGAAACTGTAGTTACACACACACACACACACACACACACACACACACACACACCAGTAGAGTTGTTGAAAGTATAATGAATAGCACACAGCAGAGGTCAGAAGTCCTAGCGAGGAACATAATGCGGCATCTCCTTCCACAGCAGCAGCAAGCTCTGTTCAATGTCTGTTCTCTCGCTAAACATACTGCAGTACACATGACTGACGGGTGAATGAACTGAATAATAAACAACAAGAAATGGAATCTGTCTAGCATCCAGATCAATAAAAATAGATCTTGAACAGCTAGTCTTTGTCCCCGAAAGCAAGGCATAATTTTTTTTTTAAATTTCTGCTTCTCAGGGGCATAATTTTAAGGGCTTTGAAAAGAAATATACACAACAACAACGATCATTTTCATCTTCCAATTTCAATGGGAAATAAAAGAAAATTAGAACTATCTGCCCCACGTTACTAGAAACCACACAGTTAAATCTATCCAAGTACCTATTTGTGGTCTCGGAAGAAATTAGAAATGATCCATATTTATATCATAGCATGAACTTTATATTTAGCTATGCTTTTCTTAATGATCTAAAAGTAAATTTTGGAAATTGTTATTTTTAAGGTCTTTAAGGTCTTTTTGTGTTGCTCATATATTCTTTTGTGTTCAACTTTGTCTTGGGACTGTGAACTTGTAAAAAATACTATTTTATGGTGTTTTACAACAAATATATTGAACTTAAATCAATTTGTTTTGGCATTCGTTTGGTTTCTACTACTTTTGAAAAAAATGATCTGAAACCTGGAGCTTTCCATTCCTGTCACTGCTATTTATATTCAGCTCAACATTTAGGACTGATTTTAGATATCACTGACTAAACAAGGTCCTAGGACGTCAGCGATGGGAGAATCTTGTATGTGACTGTCAAAGTCTTAGAAAATAGTGGGGAAGATGATTATAATTAGATATGCAAATATGATAAATGTTAGGATAGGGAATCAGGAGTTCAAGTCCAGGAGTGGGAGCGTTTTAACCCTCATTTAACACTTTTAGGATCTTTCAGTTAAGAGTCTGTTGAATTGAAACTTAAAGGCAGGCTTCATATTATTCATAAGAAATAGAAAATAAAATAATAAATTTAAAACAGGGGAAACATCACACAGTATGAAAGAATACTGAATACATATATTAAAACTCATTTTGTAGTTATTTCTTTAAAAACTTTGAAATTATCCTAGAATACAACAAAGGCCAGGCAGCTTAGTAGGTTCTACTGAAGGCCTGAGACCTCTCTTGGTTGTTGATAGGTTAAAATCTGTGTGTGTGTGTGTGTGTGTGTGTGTGTGTGTGTGTGTGTCTGGCTCAGCCTGCCCTGGGGGTGGGGTGGGCATGGCATGTGGTGCTGGGGATTGAACCATGGTCCCTGTGCTTGCCTAAGCTTGCCTAAGCAGGTGCTTTAGTTCACTGAACTATCTCACCAGCCCTATATGTTAACGTTAAAATTAACAAAGGAGGCCCTTCCTTTGTTTAAGCATCAGAATTTAAATTTATGCAACAACCTCATTCACTTACTTCTAACATTAGAAACTTAAATTCAAAATCCAGTGATTATCCAAAACTTGTTCATTAATCCCTCCCTGTCTCCTTCTCACCCTCCCTTCCTTTTCTTTCTCCTTTTTCCCCTGTCCCCCTTTCCCCTCCCCCCTCCTCTACTGTCTCCCCGCTTCTTCCTTCTGCGGCACTGGGAATTAGACCCTGGGCCTTGCACACTTTAGGCGAACACTCTGCACTGAACTGTACCCCAGCCCTATTCATCGGTTCCATGTGCCTTCCAGCCCGCTCTGCTATCCCCCCTCTCTTGGAATCTCATGTCATTTTGTTTCCTATTGCCACTCATAGATGAACTGGAAATGCTATTGACCTTCTGTTCCTGCAGGTTATCTCGCGATGCACTGGAAATGTATGTATGACATAATTTTGTTCATAAAGGGCATGGTGAGTTGCTACTTGCTAGTACATTCTTTTTTAAAAATTTATTTATTTATTTATGTGTGTGTGTGTGTGTGTGTGTGTGTGGCCAGCTCAGCTCACCAGGGGGCGGGGCTGGCTGGCATGTCGTGCTGGGGGATTGAACTGCGGTCCCTGTGCTTTGCTAAGCTTGTTCTAAGAGGTGCTTTAGACCACTGCGCCATCTCACCAGCCCGCTAGTACATTCTTGACCACGCTTGAAAATTTATATTAAAAGAGACTTCTTAAACATGTTTGATGTTCAAGAAATGTAAATTATAACAATGCTGAGATTCTATCTCCTTCCAGAGAATAGCTAGTATCAAGAAGCCAAGCAATAACAAATGCTGGTGGGGCTGTGGGGAAAAGGGAGTCCTCCAGTGTTGGTGGGAATGCAGACTTGTGCAACCACCGTGAAAATCGATGTGGAGAGTCTCAAAAAACTGGGGCTAAGGTACCAATAAACTTAATTCATTAAGAAAAAAACTACGACTGGAGGTTCCATTCGATACAGCTATGCCCATTTTTGGTATCTTCCGAAAAGAAATGAAAGCATTGTGCGACAGTGATATATGCGTGTCGTGTGTGTAGTGGCACAGCTTACAATAGCTAAATCTTGGAAACAGCCCAAATGCCCATCAACAATGAATGGTAAAGAAGATGTGGCTCCTTTTTAATACAATGGGGTCCTACTCTGCTAAAGGAGGATGAGCTCAAGATGTTGCTAGCTAAATGGCTGCAGCTGGAGACCTTACTGTTACCTGAAATAAATCAGACCCACATGTTTAAATATCACCTTGTTTCTCTGGGTGAGAAAACAAAAGTATAAATAAGGGCCAAAATGTATAATAGATATTGTAAAATAGGAAGAAAATATTCAAATGAAGGGGAACAAGGAAGGGTAGAGGGGAAAGGAAGGGAAAAGAAAAAAATGAGAAAAGAAGGAAAATGGAAACAAAAATTTTCTAAACGGGGAGGGGAAGAGGGGTTTCAGGGAGGGCAGGAAAATGGAAAAGAACAAAGAATCAAGTTAAAGCATGTGCAGGTACAAATTCCCTGTGATGAACGTGATCATTACTTTCACCTAAAATGTATTGATAAACTTAATTAATAAATCCACCAGTGAAATAAAAAGGTTCCATTTGATGAAAATCCTTTATAGCCCATCTTGTGCTTTTGCATCTATATGAATTTGTTATTATTTTTAATGTATTTAGTACAGGGCCTACAGGGTCTCACTACACAGATAGGACTTGTAGTGATCCTCCTGTTTTCAGCTTCCCAAGCCCTGGGATTACAGGCACACACCACCTACCCAGTCTCAATCACTGTCTCGGTGTGCCCTGGGAGCGGGGCTGGCACAGCACATGGGATGGAACCAGGTCCCTGAGTCTACCTAAGCAGATGCTTTAATCTGCTGGCCTATATGGCTGGCCCTGAACTTGTTATTCAAGACAAACAACTTCAACTTGTTTGTTTCCCTCTAGTGCTCCTTTTCTAAATGTCCAGATTGTGCTCATGTGAACCGGCAAAAAGGCTACAATGCGGTTCACTCTTTGATTTGATGCTCCTCAGCGACAGAAAGTTGTTGGCCCCAGAGCACTGACACTAACCAAAAGAGAAATCGCAATGTTTCTGTTTGATGGGAGCATGGCTTAGACATGTTTCTCTGGGCCCCAGGATCAATCCAGAATTAATTCTACTCAGACCTCTCAGGGCTCATCCCAGAAGCATAGGTCAAATCCTAGGTGTGGTGGGTGGGAGGGAGAACTGCGAATCTGTATTGAACAGGCTCCCTCGCCGGGGGAGGGGGGGGCGTTTAGCTACTGAAACTTCAGGACTGGGGTGGTCTCTTCTCAGCAATTGCAATTTCAAGAAGCTGTGGAGTGTGGAGATTGGGGTGGTGGACCAGGAAATGAGGGTGAGGTAGGGGTGTGTGTGTGTGTGTGTGTGTGTGTGTGTGTTGGATTTCAGTGGAGTCAGAGGCTGAGGTGATCCATGCAGGAAGCCTTGTCCTGTTGAAGGACCTTTGCCTGCTGGCCCCACACAAATAGCGTAGTTCTGCACAGGTCTGTTTCGGACACCAAGATTGTCTCTAAAATGTTTCATCAAAGAAATGCACTGATAAATCACCTGGGATCACTGATACACAACACAGAAAATGGGCTAATTATCACTACTGGGCTAATCCAAAAGCCTGGGTGGTGGTACCTTTCTTTGCACTTCGTGTGTAGTACTGTGTGTTAACAGAAAAGTTCAGGTATCTTCATTTGTAGAATGATCACGATTGTCTGCTCACCTTATGAGATAACTGTAGGAATCAAACCAGGTTTTACTGGGAACAGCACATACAGGAGCAGAAGAGAGGACACATTTTAATTCTTCAACGGATGAGGTAGAATCAGTCTAATTCTTTTTTTGCTCATCACAAGATCACACTGAAACATGGCAACTTGATAAAGAGGCTTTGGAGGAGCAGGAGGAGATGAAGGAGGAGGAGGAGGAGGAGCAGGAGGAGATGAAGGAGGAAGAGCAGGAGGAGGAGGAGCAGGAGGAGGAGGAGGAGGAGGAGAAGGACAGCAGGAGGAAGAGGTGGGCCACTCACCGACACAAATGCTTGGGATTTGGTTTCGTTCAACTGGAGTTGCAATTTCTTCTCATTGTCATAGACTCCATAGAGTCTCTTGGACCAGGTCTGAGGCACTCTGCTCTTGAATTTTAGTGAACTGTATAAAGCGAATATCCTCTGTAAGTCCAGGACCAGGCAGCTGCAGTTGTAGAAGATGACACCGAGCTCTTTCATCTGTAAATTAAAATTGAAAGCATCCATGTAATGTGCAGCTGATGGCATTAATTTCAGAGCAAAATGCATAAGAAAGCTGTACTAGTGCCATCTTTTTTTCTTGCATTTGTTGTTACACTGAATTTTGGAGATAGAATTACACTATGGTATACAGGAGGGATGTGTCAAAGTTTTGAAGCAGAACTTCGGTTTGCTTTTGTATTTAGGTTTTTACAAATCAGTTCCCCATGGTTTTCATCTACATTGTTTCATCGTGGCCCTTCAGATTTGTTTTGGAAATGCACGTATTCCTTTTTTTGTATGGATCCTTAAATCAGGCAGCAAGACAAAGGTGAACTGTAAACTGCAACATGACTGAATGATTACAGCAGCTTCTGGTCACATTGCCTGGAATTAGGTTCCAGCTTGACAAATGTCCAGCTATGTGGCTTTGGACAACCTACTTCATCTCTGGAACTCATTGTCTTTTTTCCCCCAAAACCTGGAAATAAAAGCATCTATTTCATCCAGTTATTTTGACTTAAGATGATTAATACACATGCAGGGCTTAGAACACTGCTCATCACATGACACTCGCAAAAACATAGCAATTATTATTCTCACTAACACCGCGCAAGCCTCAAGAGGAAAGGACCAGTAGAATGTGGCGACAAAAAGATCCAAGAGAGCATTCTGCTGTCCAGTGCATGCATGTGTGCACACACGAGGGAAATGAAGCTCACACAGAGAAACAGAAATATGAGTTGAGGATCTAATCCATGATAAGCAAATCTCTGAGCGCAGATTTTCTCATTCCCAATCAGCAGCTCCCACACGCAACTGCACAGGCTTCATCTGAGTCCGATTTCTTGAGGCCGAAGCACTAAGAGACTAGATTTGGGGACCAGATAGTTTCATTAACACAGCGGCTCATCACCCCATCAGCTGGGTGACTCTGGATGAGCTCTTCAGCTCTTCTCCACGGAGGAAGCAAGCAGCAGCCCCTGAGCCCAGCAGCGGGCATGTCATGCTCAGTGATGTCATGTGCTTCCAGGAACTGGCCTGCTACACACAGCTAGCCTGGACCTCCTGCTCGACCATTCCACAGAACACTGACATCAGACAGGGTCACTCTATGACCACTCCTGATGGTTCCAGACACAAACCAGACCATGTTGTAATCATGATTGAAGACACACACTATTTGAGCTACAATAAGGGCCAAACATCTCATGGCCTGGCTGACAGGAGTGACTGCTGTTTCTTTACTAATTCTAGCTCAGTTCCACTTCATTCTTATTCTTTTACAAATAAAATATATTAAGGTACCCAATCGTAGAATTGCCCCCACTTCCTAGCAATGTCCAGTGCTGAATACAGTCCTAATCCTTACCCTCTCAATATCCAACACAAGCCCAGATGCCACAATACATCTTAAATCCTGCTTCCTAAGATGCCCCACAACTCGCCATGGTGCTACTTCTCTCTTGTGCCACTGGGCAGGGGTTCAGTTTCCCCATCCTTCCTGTCCTTTGGTGTGAGGACAATGTCACCGCCTCATCCTACACCATGTCACAGAGTAACAGCACATAGTCACCAGCACTTAATATATTGATTTTTCTATCCTTAGCTATTTTTTAGGCAGAAATACTAAGTACTCAGTACTATTCCAAAGGAGATCAGCAGTTGCTCAGGAAACAGACAAGGGACACTTTAGGGGAAATGACCAAGGAAGGGCAATAATGGCCTTTGCAGATAGGCATAAAGAAGGCCGTACTTTGGGCTGAGGCTTCTCCTAGTGGAACCCAAGGCTAAACAGTGCTCCTGGTCTGCCTGGAGCATCTCTGTGTCCTCTACTCTGATGTAGAGCTCACTTTGGACATTTAGTATCACATACTTTAATCTGGAAATCCACTGATTTAAATTCTCAGAAACTGATCTGTGAAAAACCGGAAGTATACAATAACAGTGCTTATGTAATGATGTTATAATTGTGAGTCCTGCTTGTCCTTTCAGGGTCAGCTGGAGGGAGCAGTAGTTACGGACATCCCTCATCTCCAAGGTGCCCTCCACACCATCTGTTATTATCAAGGTGAAGCAAATGCTTTCTGGGTCCTCTTTCTAGGTTTTTCTCCAGCTATTAATATTTCTAATAAATTTAATCTAAAGAAAGATTTAGCGTTCCCTTTCCCCTGCTGTGTAATCTCCGTGTTTCACTTGTGAGCTTTCATCTGCCGTGGATGACACCCTTCTGTGACCAACATACAGTCTGGAAGCAGAAGCTGAGCTGAGGAGGAAGCCACGCCTGGCCTTAGAGAGTTGGAGAGTGTTAAACTCCCTCAGAGATCTTCCTCCCAGCCCCAGAATATGCCATGCTCATTTCTGATCATACATATTTGATTCAGGTACCTGTGAAGCTGCAAAAATGAAGCTGGCTTTTTTTTTTTTCCCCAGAGTTTTCATCCAGAGTGAAGATCAAGCTCAGAACGAGTTTGGGAACAAACCTTTTAAAAATGCTGGCAGTGTCAACATTTTGGTCCTAGCCTTCCAAGGTCAATTAAGTCTCAGGACATATGAGAACTTGTACTGTAATGTCATGTAACTCTGTAGTGTCCCAAATTTGCTGATCAAGGAGATTATGGGGCCAAAGAGGAAAGTGATCGATGATGTAGAGTGTGCCTAAGGAGAGTCACATGGAGAGAAAATATTCTCTCAGGCTTTTACAGAGAGCACATTGGCCAAGCAATGGCCACAACTCATCCACATGGCTGACACTGACAAAGGATCTACAATCTAAGGTACAGGATCTCAGGATAAATCCTGAGGGGATTTCACTGACCTTATCAGACCCAAAAGCTACAACTCTTGTTGCATAGGTCCTGCTTTACCTTGGTCTTAACCACCCAGCAGAAAAGTATAAAAACAAAATATAAGAAGTAAAGCCATGCTGTTATGTTGAGCTGTAGGTGACTCAGGTCAATGATTTCTGACATTGCCAGTCAAGTGGAAGATCCAATACTATTATGGACTACTGGACTCTTTTAGAGTATTTTGCTGAGTTAACACACCTATAATATTCAAATAATGGAACTTATCAAAAAAAGGGTATACAGATGAATGTCCATTTTGTATCTGTGTATTCAAAGTGGTTAGGATAGATATATAGTTACATTCTCTTAATGAATAGAGTGATTTGTTCTAATGGTGTTTGTAGATAGGATATCATGTCCGCATCTTGTACAGCAATTAACCACTGGGAGGAATGTATGCAATGTGTTAATTATTGAAACTGTCCTACCAATTTGATTTGAAACTGTCTCATTGCTCTTTGTTTATCAATAAAATTATGGAAAAAAGAATAATTTGCTGAGTTAACACATTTATAATATTCAAATAATGGAACATAGCAAAAAAAGGGAATACAGATGTATATTCATTTTGTATCTGTGTATTCAAAATGGTTAGGATAGATATAAGTTACATTCTCTTTATGAATAGAGGGATTTGTTCTAATAGTGTTTGTAAATAGGATATCATGTCTGCATCTTGTACAGAAATTAACCACTAGGAAGAATGTATGCAATGTGTTAATTATTAAAACTATCCTATCAATTTGGTTTGGAAAAAAAAAAGATATCATATCTGCATCTTGTCCTCTGAATAACTACTATGAAGACAACAATATGCAATGTATTAATTATTGTAACTGTCCTACTAACCTGTTTAGAAACTGTTTCATTGCTATTTTTTCCATTAAAATGAATAAAAGTTAAAAAAAGAAAAAAGATCTGCATTAATAGTATTTGGAAAGAATATCATGTCTGCATCTTGTGCTATCAATGACTACTACTACAACAACAACAATATGCAATGTACTAATTGTTGTAACTCTCCTACCAACCTGTTTTGAAGCTGTCACATTGCAATTTTTTTCTCAATAAAATTGATTTAAAAATGAATTTCTAAAAAAAAAATGCTGGCAGTGTGAAAAATAAGATATTTTAGGCTCCTGGTGAGTTTCCTTAGGTAGATTATCGCAAGGAAAAAAGCTAAAGGTCTGACTGATGAGTGGAAATGTTCTTCAAGTTGTCTTAGTAGTAGCAAAGCCGCATGTGGCCAAGATCAGCCCTCTGTCTGGGGGCAGGCTGCTCAGTGCCCCCAGTCTCTGAGACCCATCCAGTGACACAGCACCCTGATTTGACTTTTCAGAGAAACCACACAGGTGATCCATGTAGTCAGAAATGAGTGAAATTGGTAGCTTATATGTTTTAACTGTTGGAAATAAAGTCATCTTGAAAAAACTTGGAGTTTAACAGCTAATTATTCTTTGGAAGAGAAAAATTCTTAGGACGAGACTGACTGCTTTCTCCACTAGGGGCGCGAAGAGTTAGCGCTGAACCCATGGCACTAAGAGAAGCCCAAGGCCGCCAACAACTGCAGCCCCTGAGTTGTCTCAATGGTTTGGTCTATGTCCTTTGCACTGGGGCATTATACAGTGCAGGAGACTCAAAGTTTCTGTCTTCTACCAGGTGTTTTAGGCATCAGAACATAAGAAGCACTAGGAAAAGCATGTGATTACACTAGAAACAGTGTTTCCATTTATTATTTTCTCAAAAACAGCAGAAGGTGGTTGATGCAGGGAATGGGGTGACCAGAGGAGGGGGTTCCCTTTCGGCTGGCACATGAGGGCAGCAAGAAGGGGAAGGCATGGTTTGATGGGTTTGATGCTGGAAGCAGAAGCCAGAGCAGGCGACTGTCTGATGGATGCTCCCGTTGCCTGAATGGGGAGGGGAGAAGCATCAGCATCACTCTATGCTGTAATTCAGGATAATTAATACAGCTTAGCACGAGCACAGCTCAATTTATCACTTACCGATGTCCAGTCTGTTGATTTTCTGATTGTATAGCAATGTGAACAAGCGTTTTTTAAATTTCCTTGACAAAAACAGAAGAACCTGCAACCGCAAGCAACTCACATGCATCCAGTTAGGTGCTGATTTACATTCCAAGTTTCTGCAGGA